AAAAAAAAAAAAAAGTACGTGGGAGGAGGGGTGACAGGATGCCCTGATTGTCTGGAACCAAAGGCCATGGTCACTGTGTCCTTCCAGGACACTGAGGCCAGGGTTTGGGTGGGAGGCCCCTTGTGAGGTACAGGCAGTGCCAACCAGCCCCACTAAGCGGGCGGCCTCTCTCCCATCAGTATCCGCCAGCTGAAGGAGCGCGTGACCAACCTGCGCGGGAAACACAAGCAGATCTACAGCCTGGCGGCGAAGGAAGTGGACCCACAGGTCAACTGGGCGGCGCTGGTGGAGGAGAAGCTGGTATGGCCTGGACGGGGCCGCCGGCTGCAGGGCTTCAGCTGGGGAGGGGGCCGTGCGTGTGCAGGGAGAGCCTTGCCATGTAATGGGCATCCCGGGTCTTACCAGGGAGAGAGCCATGGTCCTGATGATTTTCCAATGTGCCCGTGAGAGGAGTGAGGCTCAGAGAAGTGCAGCGCCAAGTCAGGGTCACACAGCTCGAGCGGTGGAGATTCGGACTCTGTCCTGTCATCCACACCTCGCTGCTGCTCCTGAGTCCCACTTTCCAGCCCTGGCATGTTGGGGTCCTGGTGACGTTTTGTGGGCAGGCTGGGGCAGGAGTGGCCAGACTTCTGGCCTGTCGCTCCCTTTCCTGGCCCTCGCCACAGAGAAGCACACAGCCACTGCAGCTAGGTGTCCCGGGTTCGAGCCTCAGCTTCCCCAATTTTATTTATTTATTTATTTATTTATTATTTATTTATTCATGAGACAAGGTCTCACTCCATCACCCAGGCTAGAGTGCAGTGGCATGATCATGGCTTACTGCAACCTCAATTTCCCAGGCTTAGGTGATCCTCCCACCTCAGCCTCCCAAGTAACTGGAATTACAGGTGCACGCCACCACACCTGGCTAATTTTTTGTATTTTTATAGAGACGGGGCTTTGCCACATTGGCCAGGCTTGTCTCAAACTCCTGAGCTTCCCCAATTTTATTTTTTATTTATTTATTTATTTTTGAGACGAGGTCTTACTCTGTCTCCCAGGCTGGAGTGCAGTGGCATGATCACGGCTCACTGCAGCCTCAACTTCCCAAGCTCAGGTGATCCTCCCACCTCAGCCTCTCAAGTAGCTGGGAGTACAGGTGCATGCCACCACACCTGGCTAATTTTTTCTATTTTTGTAGAGACGGAGCTTTGCCACATTGGCCAGGCCGGTCTCAAAGTCCTGGGCTCAAGTGATCCACCCCCCTTGGCCTCCCAAAGTGCCGGGATGACAGGTATCAGCCACCATGCCTGGCCAGCTTGTCCACTGTTAGTGGCATGACCCTGGGCAGGTGACTTGCCCTCACTCAGCCTCTGTGTCCTCATCTGAGAGATGGAACAGTAACCATGTGGACCTCTGAGGCTCTGTGAGAGGAAAGATGATAACGGGTCAGTGCTCAGCAAATGGAACTTCAGGGTTGAAGGTGTGGCCGGCATCTCCCTGTGGCTCTGTGGGGCCCTGTGAAAAAGAGAGCACCATCATGCCCACCTCCGAGGCTCCTGGGGTGGCCGCACATCCCCAGCCCTTAGCCTACCCTCTCCCTATTGCTTCTCTGCCCTGCCGGCCAGGACAAGCTGAGCAGCCAGAGCTTTGGGACTGACCTGCCGCTGGTGGACCACCAAGTGGAGGAGCATAACATCTTTCACAACGAGGTCAAGGCCATCGGGCCCCACCTGGCCAAGGACGGGGTCAAGGTGGGGCATGTGCTGGTGTGGTGGGGACCCAGGGATGGAGGGGGCCGCGCCTGCGTCCTGGCCCTGACCCGTGCCCTCGGCTCTGTCCTCAGGAGCAGAACAGCGAACTTCGGGCCAAGTACCAGAAACTGCTGGTGAGGAGCTCCCTGGGGGAAAGGCATCATGGGGAGAGGAGAGGATGGGAAGCTTGGAGTCGGGGGGACAAGGATGTATTCTTTTAAAAATAACACAGGCAGCTAGGCATGGTGGCTCAGGCCTATAATCCTAGCACTTTGGGAGGCAGAGGCAGGAAGATCACTTGAGCCCAGGAGTTTGAGACCCACCTGGGCAACATAGTGAGACTCCAGCTCTCCAAACAATGTAAAAATTAGCGGGGCTTGGTGGCATGCTGTGGTCCCAGCTACTTGGGAGGCTGAAGTGGGAGGATTGTTTGAGTCCAGGAGGCGGAGGCTGCAATAAGGTGAGATCATGCTACTCCACTCCAGCCTGGGAAACAGAGCAAAACCCTGTCTTTAAAAAAAAAAAAAAAAAAAAAAAAAAAAAAGGCGTGCAGTAAACGTTTCAATCAGGAGAGGGGTTGAGGTGGGAAGAGACGTGCCCCAGCCTCTTCCTGAGCGACTGCCAGGTTTCCCCTGGTTGCTGAGGGAAAACCCTAATAGACCCCAAGGGTACAGCCTGTCCTGCTTCTTTCTTTATTAAGTATCTGCTGTGTGCCAAGTAGGATGCCACTTGCTTTCTGTACAAAAGCTTTCCATTTTCCTTCCCAAACCTTTAAAGAATGCATTGTTTTAAAAATTGCATGAGTGTTATGCAAATACTTTCTCGTTGCGGATGTTTCAGACATCTCAGAGAACGCAGAGGCAGCACTGTCGTTGTAAGGAGCCATGCTGCCTCTGCTCCGTAGTGTTAGTGGTGCCACCTTGAGCGAGTTACTTAGCCTCTGGGAGCCTCAGTTTCCTCATCTGTGAAATGGAGTTCCTACCTGTTCCTGTCTCATAGGGTCGCTCTGAGGATGAAATGAGTCAATGTTGCAGAAGTTCGTAGCGCAGTGCTGGCTCGCGGAGGGCCCCATGTACCAAAATGCAAACATCCCTCCTTTCCCTTGCACCCCCGCTTCTCAGACGTAAAGTGGTGGTTTCCTTCCAGCCCTCTGTAAGACGATCGTGATAAAGATCAAAGTAGCAGCTATAGTGACTGATATTTGTTGAGCACCAACTAACTATATGCCAGTCTGTGTGCGCTGTGAGGTCGGGACTTTCATCGTCCCCATTTACAGATGGGCAAACTAAGTCTTCAGAAAAGTGTCAGTTCCGCAAGGGTTTTGTGTGTTTCGTTCACTGCTGTATCCCCAGTGCCTGGAGCCATGTCCAGCGCGTAGGAGATGCTCAATAAACATTTGCTGAATGAATGAATGAGTTTCAGGGGGTCAGGTGACTTGTCTAAGGGGACCTGGCCTGGAAGTGGCTAAGCTGGGCTTGTCCTCAGGCTGGCCATAGCTGGGCCCTGCAGGAGGTGGGGAAGGAAGTGAACAGTGGCAGTGGGCTGAGGACGCAGCCCTGTCCTTGTCCCGGCCCCTTCAGGCAGCATCACAGGCCCGGCAGCAGCACCTGAGTTCACTGCAGGACTACATGCAGCGTTGCACCAACGAGCTGTACTGGCTAGACCAGCAGGCCAAGGACCGCATGCAGTACGACTGGAGTGACCGCAACCTCGACTATCCCAGCCGCCGGCGCCAGTACGAGGTGGGCGCTGGGGGCCTGGGGTGTCAGGGAGGAGGCAGCCCTGGAGAGAGCACAGGCCCGTCAGGCTGGGCACTGAGGCCCCTCCACTGCCCCGCACTGCAGAATTTCATCAACCGGAACCTGGAGGCCAAAGAGGAGAGAATCAACAAACTGCACAGCGAGGGTGACCAGCTGCTGGCAGCCGAGCACCCCGGGAGGAACTCCATTGAGGTGTGTGCACCCCAAGACCAGACACTTCCTCCAGGGTGGCTTCTGGTTGGCCTCTGCCTGTGGGTCGCCTGGAGCTCGGGCAGACCCCGGAGCTGGGGGTCCTGCAAGCTGCATCTTGTGTCTGTCTGTCTCTATCTTGCTGTGTCTGACTCTGCCTCCTTCATTTATCCTGATCCGTTGACACCTCTGCCCTAAGCCTCTGGACTTCTGAAGCCCCCTAGAGTTGCTGCAACAAGTTAAAACAAACTTAGTGGCTTTAAACAACAGAAATTCATTCTCTCAGAGGTCTGTGGGCTGTAAGTCTGAAATCAAGGTGTCTTAGGGCTTCATTCCCTCTGGAAGCTCCAGGACATGTACCTTCCTTGCTCTTCCAGCTTCTGGGGGTTGCCAGCAGCCCTTGGCTTGTGGCTGTATCATTTCAGTCCCTTCCTCCATCTTCACACGGTCTTCTCTCCCCATGTCTCTCTGTGTCCTCTCTTCTTATAAGGATGCCAGTCAATGGATTTAGGGCTTACCCTCATTTCAGGATCCTTAACTAATGACATCTGCAAAGATCCTATTCCCAAATAAGGTCGCATTCTTCCCAACCCCCACAATGCCCCTGCCAACCCCACCTGAGATGGAGTTTTGCTGTCGTCGCCCAGGCTGGAGTGCAGTGGTGAGATCTTGGCTCACTGCAACCTCCGCCTCCCACGTTGAAGCGATTCTCCTGCCTCAGCCTCCCAAGTAGCTGGGACTACAGGCGCACGCCACCACACCCAGCTAATTTTTGTATTTTTAGTAGAGACGGGGCCTCATCATGTGGGCCAGGCTAGTCTTGAACTCCTGACCTCAGGTGATCCACCCGCCTCGGCCTCCCAAACTGCTGCGATTACAGACGTGAGCCACCGTGCCTGGCCAGGGTCATGGATTTGGTGGGACACTGTTTGGTCCATGACAGTGCCTTTGTGCAGATTTGCTGAAGGCACCACTTTAGGCAGACACAGCCCCCACTTGCCCCTTGTGCACCGCACAGCCTGGGCATCCATATGTGGCATGCCTGTTGGGTCCCTGACATAACCCCTCTCTCCTCCTCCCACCCCTGAGCAGAAGTTGGCTACCTCTGTGGTAGCCACTCCCAGAGAGATGCCAGATGCCTCCCTCCCCCACCATGCCCTAGCCCAATATCCCAGTGGTCCCTCCCTTGGTGTCTGCAGTACCTGCCCAATGGTGAGCAGCCCCTTCTTCTGGCAGGCACACATGGAGGCTGTGCACGCAGACTGGAAGGAGTACCTGAACCTGCTCATCTGCGAGGAGAGTCACCTCAAGTACATGGAGGACTACCACCAGGTACCTGCCTCTCCTGGGAGTCCCCCCAGCACCAGTGGTGCTACTCTCTGAGAGCGCTCAGTGCCTACTTGGCTCATGTGTGGCCTCGTGCTGCTTGGTCCAGGAGCCTTGCGGGGCTGCCATCCCAGGCCCCCAGCACCCATGCTTCTGATGGCGTGTGCAGACATGTCCCAAGCTTGCCAGCCCCTGTCCATCCTCCTTGGGGACCAGGGCCAGAGTCTGATTCCCCAGGTCACATGGGGTCTAGGGTGAGTGTGTGGGGTTTATAATCTTGGTAAAATAATATGCATGCAGATACATAAAACAAAATTTGTTTTTTGTTTTGTTTTTGTTTTTATTTTTGAGAGAGTCTCACCTTGTCACTCAGGCTGGAGTGCAGTGGTGCGATCTTGGCTCACTGCAACCTCTGCCTCCTGGGTTCCAGTGATTCTCCTGCCTCAGCCTCCTGAACAGCTGGGTTTACAAGTGTACATCAACACACCCAGCTAATTTTTGTATTTTCAGTAAAGGCGGGGTTTTGCCATGTTGGTCAGGCTGGTCTCGAACTCCTGAGCTCAGGTGATTCGCCTGCCTCGGCTTCCCAAAGTGCACCCTGAGGCCCTGGCTCTGGCTGGATTACAGGTGTGAGCCATCGCACCTGGCCAGTTTGCCATTTTTAAGTGTACAATTCAGTGGCATTCATTGCATTCGCAATATTATGCAACCATCACCACCATCTACTTGCAAAACTTTCTATCACCCCAAAGAGAAACCCTATACCCTGGTCGGGCACGGTGGCTCACGCCTGTAATTCCAGCACTTTGGGAAGCTGAGGCGAGTGGATCACCTGAGGTCAGGAGTTCGAGACCACCCTGGCCAACATGATGAAACCCCATCTCTACTAAAAATACAAAAGTTAGCCAGGCGTGGTGGCCCGTACCTGTAATCCCAGATGGGAGGCTGAGGCAGGAGAATTGCTTGAACCCAGGAGGCAGAGGTTGCAGTAAGCTGAGATTGTGCCATTGTACTCCAGCCTGGGCGACAGAGCGAGACTCCACCTCAACAAAAAAAGCAAAAAACAAAACAAAACAAAACAACCCTGTGCTCATTAGGCAGTAAGTCTTCCATTCCCGCTCCCGCAGCCCCAGGTCACCTTTGGTCTTCTTGCTGTCTCTGTGGACTTGCCTGTTCCAGATGTTTCACATCTAGAACGAATATGAAGAATCAGTGGGATCATGCAGTCTCTGCCCTTTTGTGTCTGGCTTCTCTCACTGAGCGTGTTTTCCGGGTTCGTCCGTGTTGTAGCATTTTCAGTGCCTCACTCCTTTTTACGGCTGAATCCTATCCCACTGTATGGCTAGACCACTGTGTTTATCCACTCATCTGTGGCTGGACACTTGTCTGTTTCCAGAGGAATGAGAGTTCTTAAGAAGCTGCGGGTAATTCTTAGGATTGAGATGTCTGGGGAAACCTGGATGTGGGTGACGCCGTGTCACTCCTCATTCACTGAGCTGCACGGTGGGGGCTTCAGGTCCTGTTCATGGCTGCAGCCCAGGTGCTCAGCCCAGGGGATAGCTGACAGTGACCCAAGAGTTGATAGACTGAAGAACGGGCAAAAGAATTTTCGAGAACAAAAAGGGGAGGCTATTATCAAAACCTAGAAAGAAACTGTAGTAGTAAGTCTGGGTGTTCCTAGTACAGAGAGAGGAATTGAATCAAGGACACCTCAAGACTTACTGGTATATCAAAGAAAACATGTTACAGAGGTGGCATCTCATGGATGGGTGGGAAGGGACCTGCCTTCTCCCAGTGAGGCCCCTAAGGAGCCAGCTCAGGGAGGGTGAGGCTGTTTCCACGCAGAGGAGCCTCAGGCTCAGTGCAGGGTCCCATGCTGGACTCCCAGTGAACTGGAGGCCCAGCCCCGCCTGGGGGATGAGCTTGAAGCCTCGGACAGAAGCCCAGGTGCTTCTAGTGGTTTCCTGGCTGTGACAGAGCCACCTTCTCCCCAAGTTCCACAAAGACGTGAAGGACGCTCAGGAGCTGCTGCACAAGGTGGACTCGGACCTGAACCAGAAATACGGCCCTGACTTCAAGGACCGGTACCAGATTGAGCTGCTGCTGCGGGAGCTGGATGTGAGCGAGGGCCCAGGATCCCTGCTGGCCCGGGGGGGCGGGGGACCCCTCTACACCATGCCTACCCTCAGCCCTGGACAGAGCCCCCCACAGCACCCCACCTGCTGACCCCAGCCCCTACTCGGCGCCCTCCCACCAGGGGGAAGGCTGTTGGTCTCACCGGGCCCCTGACCCTGTTCTCTTCAGGACCAGGAGAAGGTGCTGGACAAGTATGAGGACGTGGTGCGGGGGTTGCAGAAGCGAGGCCAGCAGGTGGTGCCCCTCAAGTACCGCCGGGAGACTCCGCTCAAGCCCATCCCCGTGGAGGCACTCTGTGACTTTGAGGGGGAGCAGGTGCGCGGGGCCAGCTCCTCTGTTCACATTACTACAAAATCTTTGGGGTAACATGGCTGGATCTGGGGCCTCAGGCGACGTTCTCGGGAGCCTGTGCCTGTCTCCATGGTTGGTGTCACTCTGCCAACCCTTTACCTCATGCAGGCCGACTGGCACCCCCATGCCGCCCCCACGTCGCCTGCCCTGGCCTTGTGTTCCACCAGCTTAGCAACCCCAGTCCCACCTCAGAAGTCCCCGGCCAGGTTCTCATTGGCCCACTGAGTCACGTGTCCACCCTACACCAATCACTGTGGCCGGGGAACGCCAGTGTCCACCCTATACCAGTGACTGTGGCCGGGGAATGCCAGTCTCACATTGGCCAGGTCCAAGTCACATGTCCATCTGGAGCTTGGGAATGGAGAAGGAATGACTGGGAATTGGGAGGGACGGTTCCTCAAAGGGAAATGGAGGTGGGTTGCTGGGCCAGCAGCCTCAACATATGTGCTCCTCCTGCATAATCCTCCCAACTCTTTGGGGAGGGTCCAAGTGATGAGCCGAGGGTCCCCAGGTCCAAGAGTCCAGGGTGAGATGGCTACCGCGCTCGCAGGCCCTCAGCCCCTCCCGGGACCCTGACTGTCTGGCCTGCCCTTGCCAGGGCCTGATTTCACGGGGCTACAGCTACACCCTGCAGAAGAACAACGGGGAGAGCTGGGAACTCATGGACAGCGCTGGGAACAAGCTGATTGCTCCGGCTGTCTGTTTCGTGATCCCCCCCACAGACCCTGAGGCCCTGGCTCTGGCTGACAGGTACAAGGGCAAAGGCGGGAGTCTGCATGGACCAGCCCCACCCCCAGGGCTTCTCAGGCCCCATTCATAGCCCTGGGCATTTGGACTCAGCCTGTGGGGAGCGGGGGGTTGCTGACACTCTCCATCTGTACCCCCTTGGAGGTTCATGCAGGAGAGGGGCAGATCGTGGGCCGGCTGACTTGCTGAACATGAATGTCCAGCTCTTGGCTTCGTCCAGCAAGCAGTTTCTAAGGGCCCCTGGCTCCCACACGCACTGCTCCCTGTACCTGCAGCTCCCAGCCCCTCGACTGTGGACTCAGCTGGAATCAGGGCTGCCTCCTCTGCTCCCAGGCACCTTCTTCCACTGCACACACCACTTTTTATTGACTATCATATGTGTCAGTCTCGTTGGGCTCCTTGAATTTCCTCTCTCCAGGGTCTAGTTAAATACCTGGTGGAAAGTTGGTGCCCAGGAACTCCTTGCTGAATGAGTGGATGATTCAAGGAATGCCTTCATTCATTCATTCAAGTATTTATTGAGCACCTACTGTGTATGCTCCCTCAGAGGTAACATCTTGGTGGAGTTTATTGGACAATTTTAGGTAGTTTAAGACTTCCTATGAAGAAGGGGGAGGAGGAGGAGTTCTGAGCCCAGGAGCACACAAAGGCCAGCACGACAGTGAGCACTCGCTGTCTGCATCTAAGGAGCTGTCAGGCTCCTCTGGGGTGTCTGCCCAGCCAGTCTGCTGTCGTGTCTCTGTGGGTGCAAGGGGTGGTGGGCTGCCCAAGTTCCCAGCTCATTTCTGTCCTCACAGCCTGGGCAGCCAGTACCGGAGCGTGCAGCAGAAGGCAGCCGGGAGCAAACGCACGCTGCAGCAGCGGTATGAGGTGCTGAAGACCGAGAACCCTGGAGGTGGGTGCCAGGGCCACTCGCCTGAGGCTCTGGGGGTGCCAGGGAGGGGCTGGACCCAGGGTATATGCTGTGGATGAGATGGCAGGGGCCTGGCACGAGGTGGAGGGCTGGGTGCCTAGGTCCCTCCCTGGGCCTCACACCCCTGGCCCATTGTCACACCTGCCTGTGTCCTCCCTCCCTCCACAGATGCCTCTGACCTACAAGGGCGGCAGCTGCTGGCTGGCTTGGACAAGGTGGCCAGAGACCTGGACCGGCAGGAGAAGGCCATCACAGGGATCCTGCGGCCACCGCTGGAGCAAGGCCGGGCTGTGCAGGACAGTGCTGAGCGGGCCAAAGACCTCAAGGTACCTGTGGGTCAGGAGCACAGACGGGGCCTGGGGAGCCCTGCACTGGCCCCCTGGCTCCCTGGGGGCCCCTATTCGAGGTCTTTTCCCCATGGGGTCTTAGGACATTCACTGCAGGTGTCTGACAGGGACAGCCTGCCGCATGTAACCGGGTCCCGAGTCGTGGAGGTGGCAGGGCTGCCCTCATCACCTCCCCAGTTTCCAGACCAAGGACCAGGCCGCCAGGCTCTTTCCAGACACATCCCCAGGAGAAAGAGCCGAGGCTTGCACTGTCCCTGCATGGCTTGTCGATCTGACGCCCGGCGCGGCACATGGGCTGCGGAATTCCGCAGGACTGGGTCACTGGCTGATTTGACCGCAGACACGTTAGCTAAACCCCAGGCCTCTTCAGTAGGATGGGTTGACCCTGCTTGCAGGGCGGTGGCAAGGACAGGGTGAGCTGATGCCGGGGGCAACGTGGCAAGGCCACCACCACTCACCTCCTTTCCTACACGGTCTCCCACATCCTCAAGGCAGCCCTTTGAGGCAGGGAGTAGCACTCCAATTTTACAGAGGGGGATCTGGGATTGGAGAAGTGCCCTAGTCCCTGATGGGGCCTCACAGTGAGGGCCGAGTCAGGGTGAGAGGATGTGGGTCTCGGGTGTAACCTGACCCCACAAGTCCCTTCCTAAGTTGCTGGGAGTCATCACGCCCCCACCCGTGGCTGGGTGGAGTCGTAGTACTCACCTCCCAGGGTTGCTGGAAAGGTTATTAAACAGAAGCGTTCACCTGCAGTGCTTAGGACAGCACAGGCCCGGCAGCTGCCTGGGTGCTTTTGGTGGCACTAGTCCACAGTCCACCTCAGCGGTTCCCTGGGATGCTCGTGAAAGATGCAGCCCTCAGGCTGGCGTCCAGACTCCGCATCAGAGCCCCAGAGTGTGCCAGGCCTTTCCAGCTGCTTCCACTGTCCCTGATGTGGGAATGTGTGCCCACCCTGGCCACACCCTCGGGGGAAGGGGCTGCCTGGCTGTGTCCAAAACTGAGGGGCCCTGGTCCCCACAGAACATCACCAATGAGCTACTGCGGATTGAGCCTGAGAAGACTCGGAGCGCGGCTGAGGGCGAAGCCTTCATCCAGGCCCTCCCGGGCAGTGGCACCACACCCCTGCTGAGGACCCGGGTGGAGGACACCAACCAGAAATACGAGCGCCTGGTGCAGCTGCTGGACTTGGCCCAGGAAAAGTGGGTGACAGACAGGCAACATGGAGGTTGGGGTGGCGTCAGGGGACCAGGTGGGTATCCCCTGACGCCTGACTGGTGTCCTCAGACTTGATGTGGCCAACCGCCTGGAGAAGAGCCTGCAGCAGGGCTGGGAGTTGCTGGCCACACACGAGAACCATCTGAATCAGGATGACACAGTGCCCGAGAGTAGCTGCATCCTGGACAGCAAGGGGCAAGAGCTGGCGGTGAGTCTGGGACCCAAATCCCAGAAGTCCTTCTCTGAGCAGGTGAGGGCATCAGGCCCATCCACCCACCCCATCCGGACAGACGAGGACACCAGCATCCCGTCTCCCTGGGTTTGGAATGCCCAGTGTGACAAACTGGGAACTGCAAATGGAGGCCTGCAGGACAAATCCGAGCTATTCATGGGATCTGTGTGACCTATGGGATTTCAGATGCCAGCATTTTAAGATCAAATATCTGCAATAGACAGTGCAGTGGCACATGCTTGTAACACCAGCCATTCAGGAGGCTGGGGTGGGCTTGCTTGACCCCGGAGTTTAGGTCCAACGTGGACAATGTTGCAAGCCCCATCTCTTAAAAAAAAAAAAAAACACCTAACAATCCATGTTCTCAGTATCTCTTGCTGAGCAGAGCTGGCATCCTGGGCTGCAGTCCACAGGGCAAGTCACGGGGCAGAGGAGCGGCTGCCTCCTCGGCCTGCTTTCCCCTCGCAGTTACCACGGGCCCCCTTCCCGCGTGGCCTGCCTGAGCGCAGGAAACATTCAAGTCTGCGACCCGAGGCCCCTTAGTCACACTTCCATCTCACGACCCGCTTTTGCCAAGGCCTCACGGCCCGTGGCAGGCTGTTCTAGTGCGGGGCACGAGCTGCCTGCTGCAGTGTTTTTAGAAGTTAGTTTTTCAGGGCTTTGTTCATTGTAATAAAACAGAAGATGGCAGAAGTCACCCAGGTTTGAGATGGACAGAGCAAGGCTCCAGTCCCTCCTCCTTGTGGCCTTGACCACCCTCCTACAGCCAGTGGCCCGGGGGCTGTGGGGGGTGTCATCACCCGGCTCTGGGAGCTCTGGAAGCTCTGGCCATAGCACCGCTGTCTCCTCCTCTGCCTGGCCAGGCCATGGCCTCTGAGTTACAGGCCCAGAAGTCCCTCCTGGGTGAGGTGGAGCAGAACTTGCAGGCAGCCAAGCAGTGCTCGAGCACACTGGCCAGCCGCTTCCAGGAGCACTGCCCGGACCTGGAGCGCCAGGAGGCCGAGGTGCACAAGCTGGGCCAGCGTTTCGACAACCTGTGTCAGCAGGTGGAGCGCAGGTGAGGGTGTGGGGGGTGGTGGTCATTCTTGTTTTCTGAGAATGCGATCTAATTCCCTCTAAACAATGCTGTAGCCATGTCCCACAGATGGTGCTGTTTTTCTTTTTGGTGAGTTCGTCAGATTCCCTGACAGCCCTGTGGTCTCTCCTTTGAGTCATGATTACCTGGGTCTTGTAATCCACAACGGGCATCTCTGCAAGTCAATGTATGTGGACTCACCTGGTTCTCCACACTCCCACCTGACATTCCCTAATTACCACCCACCCTGTGTGGGACACACTTAGGGTATTTCTCGTTAAGTTACATTTGATTGTTTCCCACTTTTTTTAAAAAAATGAGGGCCCCGTAAGGCATCTGCTTGCTGTGGCCAAGGCCTGAATGCTTTGCCTTGGCAGGGCGCAGAGCCTACAGAGTGCCAAGGCGGCCTACGAGGACTTCCACCACGGCCGTGACCACGTGCTGCAGCTCCTAGCCAGCATCCCCAGTTACGAGCCCCAGGAGACAGACAGCCTCAGCCAGATGGAGACCAAGCTAAAGAACCAGAAGGTGAGACGGCCGCTTCTGCAGCCCCAGGCACACACTGGCGAGGGAGGGTCAGAGGTCAGCAAGCCCCTTTCTGGGGAGCCAAGCTTTTGGGAGGTGGAGCAGGGCAGAGGCCTGCCACAGCTGTGTCCTCCCTGGGCCTCAGCTCTCAGGCTCCCAACACCCAACCCTCTGAGAACAAGATCCGAGTGTGTCGCTCACCTCTCCCAGCTCAGTGCCCCGCACAGGGCCTGGTGCAGAGTGGACGCATGGCGTGGGTTGGCTATCTGAGTGAGCAGCTACAGAATGAGGAGCCGCCTTTGTGGGGAAAATCCCATTTCCAAAGTTGGGACTCCGGCCTCCCCAGGCCCAACACAGTGCCTTGGGGTGGGGGAAGAACATGGGAAGATAAAGGCTGAGATGCAACTCCCAGGTCCACCCCATCAGCCACATCCCCACTTTGGAAACTTTACTTTCCTCACTCATAAGCTGGAGGTCACGATGCTTACCTTCTGGCATCACTTGAAGATCAAATGAGATAATCTAAGTCAGAGAGCAGAACAGTGTCTGGTGGTCCAAATCATCAGTAAACATTTGTTTCCTAGCAGAGATAATGATCTTGGCCCTTCACAGAGCCTTAGAACTGCCTTTTATGGCCGGGTGCAGTGGCTCACGCCTGTAATGCCAGCATTTTGGGAGGCCGAGGCAGGTGGATCACGAAGTGAGGAATTCAAGACCAGCCTGGCAACACAGTGAAACCCCATCTCTACTAAAAATACAAAAAAAAACCTAGCTGGGTATGGTGGCAGGAGCCTGTAGTCCCAGCTACTTGGGAGGCTGAGGCAGAACTGCTTGAACCCAGGAGGCTAAGGTTGCAGTGAGCCAAGATTGCGCCACTGCACTCCAGCCTGGGCAATGCAGTGAGACTCTGTCTCAAAAAACAAAAAAACAAAACCAAAAAAAAAAAAACTGCCTTTTGCAATGAACAGTAATGTATACCAGGGAGCCATTCATCATACTTTGTGCTAGAGAAGAGTAAATTCAGATTCTGAGATTTCCAGCTACTTCATCCACGTTTGCTTTTCTAAATTTTTTTTTCCGGTTCGTTTTGATTTTTAAACTGTGTCTTACAGAACCTGCTAGATGAGATAGCAAGTAGGGAGCAGGAAGTACAGAAGATCTGTGCCATTTCCCAGCAGTACCAGCAGGCTGTAAAGGTGAGCCGGGAAACTTCTACCCGAGGCACAAACAGCAGGGGCCTCGTTCCTCCGTCCCCTGGTCAGAGAAGCAGCAAGCACCAGCCTTGGCACATGTGGGTGGAGCTGGCCATCCGGCGGCACTGCTGGCTGCTGTGCAAACTGGCACGGGCTTTTGGGAAAATAGCATGGTACTAGACATGCAATGCCGTAAAAAGGGTTTTATACTCTGAAGCAGTAAACTCTTTGGGGGAATTTATCCTTAAGGAAAAAATACCAAAAAAAAAAAAAAAGCAGGATAAAATTGTTGCAACAGCCCTATTTACAATAGCAAAACTAGTAAGCTGGAAAGGACGGGTGTCCAGTGGAAGGGGAAAGCTGCGTGAAGCAGCACACATCTACTTGCTGGATTATGAAGTCTGCAAGCTGGTAAACATGAGAAGAGGTGGTGGCAAGGTGAGACAAGGTGATGGTACAATGTTAAAAGCAGCAGCAGCAGGTGAAAATCTCTAGGCGTGTAGGAAGGTCGGGAGGGGAATTCGGGGGGTGCTTTTTCTTGTCTTATGTGTTACTGAGTGATGGAGCTATGTACTGCTGAGGTATAGGTAATTCTCAAAACCTCCTGGCAATCACTACAGGGTGCAGCTGTGAGGAAGACCCGTGCAGATTATAAAACCAGCACATGGCACAGGGCTGGTCTGGGTCAGCCGGAAGGGGTACAGGAACATGTCTGTCTCTTCTAACCTGTTTTAATCTACCCTCTGCCATGTCTCTCACTCACGCAGGACTATGAGTTAGAAGCAGAAAAACTAAGGTCTCTTCTCGACTTGGAGAATGGAAGGAGCAGCCACGTGAGCAAGAGAGCCAGGCTCCAATCTCCTGCCGCCAAAGTGAAGGAAGAGGTGAGTTTTGTGGGCCGGGCGGCCTCGGGACTGAGGTGGAGGCCAAGCTGCCCTGCTCCCCAGGGAGCATTGGTGTCACGCGCTGGCCTCAGAGATGCACATACAACAGGGAAGCCACTGAGAGCCCTCCTGTGTGCAAACAGGTTTGGTAAGAGAAGATGAGGAACTTGCTCTAGGGCAGTGACAGCGATATGCCTAGAAAGACAGCAAGGCTGGGCGTGGTGGCTCCTGGCACCTGTAATCCTAGCACTTGGGGAGGCCAAGGTGGGAGAACTGCTTGAGCCCAGGAGTTTGAGACCAGCCCAGGCAACAAAGCAGGACCCCATATCTACAAAAAAATTAGCCAGGCGTGGTGGTGCACACCTGCAGCTGCTTGGGAGGCTGAGGAGGGAGGATCACTTGAGCCCAGGAGTTCAAGGCTGTAGTGAGCTGCAATCACAGCACTGCACTTCAGTCTGAGTGAGAGAGATTCTGTCTTTAAAAAGTAAAAACTTTTGAAAACACAGCTGAACAGCAGTGTCAGGGTCAAAGCCATGGATCTGGAAAGTTCCTCTTTTGCTCAGTAAGTAGAGTGGAGGGCTGATATTAGTCCCTTGCACACACAAGAAAGAACACTGGTGCTCAAAGTCAGTGTAGTCAAGACCCTGGTCTGGATCTTCTGCCTCGAGATCCAATTTTCTCTCCACCAGTGAGACTAAAGCAAGAGTTATGCCTCTACCCCCAAATTCCATACTTCTCAAGAACCAGGCCCACGCTCTCTAGCTCTCTGTTGCTTACCCTGTTGACACCTGTTTATTGATCGCTCTCCTAAACCTCTTGTCTGCAGGAAGCAGCGCTTGCCGCCAAGTTCACTGAAGTTTACGCCATCAACAGACAGAGGCTGCAGAATCTGGAGTTTGCTCTCAATCTCCTGAGACAGGTAACTGATCTTCGTAAGAAATCCTACTTCAAGCTGTGCTAACAGGTGACAAAGACAGACTCTGTCTCAGAGAAATAGTCTGTGAATTGATGGGAGTGTCCCCTTGCTAACGTTTCTGGGCAGGACCAGTGCAAAGACTGGCCGGAGCCAATGCTTCTACTGACATGAGAACTTATTCAACTCAGTAAACATCTGCTGAAAGTGAATGCTATTTTCAGCTAAACATGGTGGCTCACGCTTGTAATCCCAGCACACTGGGAGGCCGAGGCGGGCGGATCACCTGAGGTCAGGAGTTTGAGACCAGCCTGGCCAACATGGTGAAACGCTGTGTCTACTAAAAATGCAAAAATTAGCTGGGCGGCGTGGCGCATGCCTGTAATCCCAGCTACTCAGGAGACTGAGGCAGAATTGCTTGAACCCAGGAGGTGGAGGTTGCAGGGAGACGACGAGATCGTGCCACTGCACTCCAGCTGGGCAACAGAGCGAGACTCTGTCTCAAAAAAAAAAAAAGAAAGCAAAGAAAATGAATGTTATTTTCTGAAGTCCATGATGTTTACGACAGCATTGTTTGTAATAGCAAGACACTGGAAGCGGTTCACTCTTCATCAGCAATGGGCTAAACTGCGGTCTGTCCAGAGTGGAAACTATGCTGCTGGTAAATCCTGAAGCAGTACTCTCTGTGCGGAGCTGGAATGAGCTCTGTCAGTGCAGTCAGCGGCAGGGCACACAGCAAGAATACCATTTGTGCAGGAACAGGAAAGATAAACACATGGTGCATACTACAGACAGACATGCTTGTGTGAGCATAGACAGACACGCCCTAGGAAGGGGACCAGAGGTGGGAGACCATGGTTTCATTTTAAACTCTTCCACAGCTCAAAAATGTTTTACCTAATTAAAAAAACCCCAAACTAGTTGTTTGATCATTTTTGAAAGTAACCCTAGAACTCTACAACGAACATGAACTGGCGCTGAGGGAGTCCCCTGGGGATCACAGGACAGCCGCTCTGACCAGCTGGGGACAGGCCCCACATGTGCTGCCAGAGCCTGGCTTTAACCTTGTCTTGTCTTCTCCATCACAGCAGCCGGAAGTCGAAGTGACCCATGAGACGCTGCAAAGGAACAGGCCGGACTCTGGAGTGGAGCAGGCGTGGAAGATCAGGAAGCAACTGGATGAGGAGACTGAGCGGAGGCAGCAGCTGGAGAACGAGGTCAAGAGCACCCAGGAAGAAATCCGGACCTTGAGGCATCAGGGGCCTCAGGAATCGGTGGTGAGGAAGGAGGTGCTCAAGAAGGTGCCGGATCCCGCACTGGAGGAGAGCTTCCAGCAGCTGCAGCAGACGCTGGCAGAGGAGCAGCACAAGAACCAGTTGCTGCAGGAGGAGCTGGAGGCACTGCAACTGCAGCTGCATGCCCTGGAGCAGGAGACCAGGGATGGGGGGCAGGAGTACGTGGTCAAAGAGGTCCTGCGCATTGAGCCCGACAGGGCCCAGGCGGATGAGGTCTTGCAGCTGCGGGAGGAGCTGGAGGTACTGAGGCGGCAGAAGGCCGCCCGGGAGGCAGAGGTGCTCCTCCTGCAGCAGCGTGTGGCCGCCCTGGCCGAGGAGAAGAGCCGGGCACAGGAGAAGGTCACCGAGAAAGAGGTGGTGAAACTGCAGAATGACCCCCAGCTGGAGGCAGAGTACCGGCAGCTGCAGGAGGACCACCAGTGCCAGGGCCAGCTCAGGGAGAAGCAGGAGGAGGAGCTGAGCTTCCTCCAAGACAAGCTCAAGAGGCTGGAGAAGGAGCGGGCCATGGCCGAGGGCAAGATCACCGTCAAGGAGGTGCTCAAGGTGGAGAAGGATGCAGCCACGGAGAGGGAGGTCAGCGATCTCACCCGTCAATACGAGGACGAGGCTGCCAAGGCTCGCGCTAGCCAGAGGGAGAAGACGGAGCTGCTCCGGAAGATATGGGCCTTGGAGGAGGAGAACGCCAAAGTGGTGGTGCAGGAGAAGGTGAGGGAGATCGTGCGGCCAGACCCCAAGGCAGAGAGTGAGGTGGCCAACCTCCGCCTGGAGCTTGTGGAGCAGGAGCGAAAGTACCGGGGTGCCGAGGAGCAGCTCCGGAGCTACCAGAGTGAGCTGGAGGCCCTCAGGAGGCGAGGCCCCCAGGTGGAAGTCAAAGAGGTGACTAAGGAAGTCATTAAGTACAAAACTGACCCCGAGATGGAGAAGGAGCTTCAGCGGCTTAGGGAGGAGATCGTGGACAAGACCAGACTGATTGAAAGGTGTGATTTAGAGATCTACCAGCTCAAGCAGGAAATCCAGGCCCTGAAAGACACCAAACCCCAGGTCCAGACCAAAGAGGTGGTCCAGGAGATCCTCCAATTCCAAGAAGACCCTCAAACCAAGGAGGAGGTGGAGTCTCTGAGGGCAAAGCTCTCAGAGGAGCAGAAGAAGCAAGTGGATCTGGAGAGGGAGAAGGCCTCCCAGGAAAAGCAGATCGCCCAGAAGGAGGAGGAGCTCTCGCGAGTGAAGGAAAGGGTGGTGCAGCAGGAGGTAGTCAGGTACGAGGAGGAGCCAGGCCTGCGGGCCGAGGTGAGCGCCTTTGCCGAGAGCATCGACGTGGAGCTGCGACAGATTGACAAGCTGCGGGCAGAGCTGCGGAGGCTGCAGCGCCGGCGCACCGAGCTTGAGCGGCAGCTGGAGGAGCTGGAGCGTGAGCGGCAGGCCCGCAGGGAGGCCGAGCGCGAGGTGCAGCGGTTGCAGCAGCGGCTGGCAGCACTGGAGCAGGAAGAAGCGGAGGCCCGTGAGAAGGTAACCCGCAAGCAGAAGGTGGTGCTGCAGCAGGACCCGCAGCAGGCCCGAGAGCATGCCCTGCTCCGACTCCAGCTGGAAGAAGAGCAGCACCGGCGGCAGCTCCTGGAGGGTGAGCTTGAGCCCCTCCGGAGGAAACTGGCTGCACTGGAGAAGGCGGAGGTCAAGGAGAAGGTGGTGCTCTCCGAGAGCATCCAGGTGGAGAAGGGTGACACCGAGCAAGAGATCCAGAGGCTCAAGAGCAACCTGGAGGAGGAGAGCCGCAGCAAGCGCGAGCTGGATGTCGAGGTGAGCCGGCTGGAAGCCAGACTTGCGGAGCTGGAATTTCATAACTCCAAGTCATCCAAGGAACTAGATTTTCTAAGGGAAGAGAACCACAAATTACAGCTGGAGAGGCAAAACCTGCAGCTGGAGACCCGAAGGCTCCAATCGGAAATTGACATGGCAGCGACGGAAACACGAGACCTGCGGAACATGACCGTGGCGGACTCTGGGACCAACCATGACGCCAGACTATGGTCCCTGGAGAGGGAACTAGATGACCTCAAGAGGCTCTCCAAGGACAAAGACCTCGAGATCGACGAGCTGCAGAAACGTCTGGGCTCCGTGGCTGTCAAGCGGGAGCAGCGGGAGAACCACCTGCGGCGCTCCATCGTAGTCATCCACCCCGACACAGGCCGCGAGCTGTCCCCGGAGGAAGCCCACCGCGTGGGGCTCATCGACTGGAACATGTTCGTGAAACTCAGAAGCCAGGAGTGCGACTGGGAGGAGATCTCAGTGAAGGGTCCTAATGGGGAGTCCTCAGTAATACACGACAGGAAGTCTGGCAAGAAGTTCTCCATCGAAGAGGCCCTGCAGAGCGGCAGGCTGACCCCTGCTCAGTATGACCGCTACGTCAACAAGGACATGTCCATCCAGGAGCTGGCGGTCTTGGTATCTGGGCAGAAGTAGGCACAGCTCTTGTAACTCTTCATAGCAGCAGATGCTGGTTCTCCTCCGACGCTGTGACCTCCCTGGTGTCGTCTTCTCCCTAGCCCTGGTGCAGGCCAAGCATTTTTTTTTTTTTTTTTTTTTTGAGACGGAGTCTTGCTCTGTGCCCCAGGCTGGAGTGCAGTGGCGCGATCTCGGCTCACTGCAAGCTCCGCCCCCCCCGGGTTCACGCCATTCTCCTGCCTCAACCTCCCGAGTAGCTGGGACTACAGGCGCCCGCCACCTCGCCCGGCTAATTTTCTTGTATTTTTAGTAGAGACGGGATTTCACTGTGTTAGCCAGGATGGTCTCGATCTCCTGACCTCGTGATCCACCCGTCTCGGCCTCCCAAAGTGCTGGGATTACAGGCTTGAGCCACCGCGCCCCGCCTAGGCCAAGCATTTTATACACACCCTTGCTGCCAGGCTGCTCAGAGTCCAGCCCACATATGGGACAGGCACTGGCTGAAGACAGGCAACTCTCGTTCCAACCATCCTTCACCCTAGTGACCCACTTCATCCTCCAATGATTGGACAACTGCAATGCCTTTTCCTATACACTGCCAGCAACAAAATCCTCGTGACACCTGCACACAATCTGAAAACCACTAAAGCACAAGCCAACCACAGCAGCCAAGCCCACTCCATGCAGCATGGGTACTGGTGGCACACCAGTGACACTGCCCCACAAAGGCCTGGGCCCGTGGGGGCTGCTGCCTGGCATGACATGTCTCCAGATTTCTGGCTTAAAACCAACTTTCCATCACAGAAGCCTCCTCAGTAGTTACTCTGCTCATGAGACAGATCTGGGCTCCAAGCCAGCAAAGGTGAACAGAAACCACAAGTGTCCAGGCCTCGGTGCTAGAGTGGACGTTAATTGTCAGCCAGACTGTCCCGGCACCTACAGAGACTGTTTCACAGTTCTGGCATTTAAATCCTTTCATAGTGGATTGTGTTGCTGTTAGCCTCAGTTTCAGTGCTTTACAAGTCTCGCTTATCATCTCATTGGTATTTAGGTATACAAACAGTTGATTATTCACCACACAAATTTCTGGTTCTCTGTATCTCATGTAGAACATAAGAAAATGGGAAGTAATAGGGAACTTTATTTATAGCATGAAAATAAACCTGGTGGCTGGAGTCTACTTTTACGGTCCACGTGTTTCTTCTTTTGCATGCAAGGCTTATTTCCCCCACTCCCTCTTGGCTTTCAGCCAAAATGGATATTCCATATATAACAGCTCCTACAGGACGAACTACTTCCACAGGGTAGAAAAAAAAAGAGTGAGAAAAAATGTTTTGGAAACCTTGAAACAATTTATTGAATCACTTTATACAAGATTAACAATCTCCACACCACCCCTAACACCAACATAGTCGCTGCACAAAAGCCACAGCCCCTCTCACACGTAAGAAACGGCCACGCCCGGTAAGTGCTCAGAGACTTTCGCTGCACCAAGGAAACCCCTGCAGCCCCCAGACCCCGAGGCCGCTCTGCCCTACCCTCTGCTGCGGCCTCGCCTGTAGATCTGCCTTGCCATGGCTGTTCAGTCATTCGCTCTTTCATTACCACAAATAAAGCATAAACAAGAAAAAGAAATCTCAAACTCCCCATCAAAGAAACGTTTCCCTGAGGCAAGAGGCATCACTAGATTCCTAAAAATGAGGGTATTCTGCTCCAGCTGCGCGCGCAATGGTACATGGGGAGGAGGGAGCACCAAAGGGAAAGGAAGGAGGGGCTGGGACCCGGGTGTTTATGGGCAGAGAAGCCTGGAGAGTCCCTGCTCAGCCTCCACTGCCGGCCTCTGCTTGGCTTTGAGCTCAGCAATACAAATCTCTTCTTTGGCTCTTTTGCTACTACCTAAGACTACTCTGTAAACAAACTGGAAATCCAAGTTGCAAAAAATATATATAACAAAGGGATAAGGAATCCACTTAGCCCAATGTGAAACACAGATTGGTTCTTATGTAAAAAAGGAGTCAGAGCAGAGGCCAGGCCAAAGGGCGGACAGAGGTCTTGCTCCTTGGGAAACCAGGAAGGCCAGGAAACCTCTGAATGAAGGATGAGTTACTGGGCGCTGTACCCTGGGAGTCAGGAGCCAAGAGCGATCCGTTTTCCCCCGGGTGTACGTGCTGAGGACACTATACTCTCAACGTGCCTGAGATCACTTAGCTGGAGCAGTCAGTTCAGACTCACCTTGTGGCAAAGACCTCACAGGACAGGCAAGTGCCCTCAAATCCTTGTGAAACAGTCACTGGTTGAGTGGTGACTTAGGAGCTCTGCAGTAACTGTCCTAGTCTCTCTGATCCACTCCTCAAGCTCTTCCGCACATCATCCTTAAGTCGACACATAACCCCACTGCCTGGAGGGCCCCAGGACTTCAAGGCCTATTTCTACCTGGCAGACACTTCACAGAGGCCTGCTTCTGCCGCACTGCCTACGAATGATTCCTAAGAAGACAAACTGGAATGTCTATCTGTGACTCGGGACCCCTGGTATCCTTGACCCTCAGACAGATGAAGGGCTTTGGACTCTGCAGTCCAACTCCACAAACTCTGGAAAAGCAAAATGGGAGCCCTGGCTACACTGGGACTTGGAATTTGGGGGCCCAGACACCCTTCTAGTCAGGACGGCACAGATAATGATGTGCAAGTGTAAAAAACTCAAAACTGGCTTTGTCTTGAATACAGACATATCTTTAAAAAGGTCTTCATCTCAGCTCCACTCAGAGGGCTGAATGGACATGTGTTGTCGAATTCTGCTCCACCATAAAGGCACTGGAATTATGTCTTCCTATAATATGATGTGTGAAGAACAGTCCCCTTCTATCCAATGCATTTAATGGTAATGAGGAAAACTGAGCCGAAAATAGGTGTCTGTAAAAATCCTATCACAATTGTTGAATCTACAAAGGTCTTTTCTCTAAAAGAGCTTCATTGTCATGTTCCGAGGAGAAACTGGCCCCCACAGTGAGCACACCCTAGGTGTTCTTAGTATTCTGCAGGGACAGTGCAGGTCTCCTAGCTGTGGCTCTGGCCTGGGTTTTGTTCTCTTGAGCACACAGCCTGGGGATGAGGCGGCACTGTGACCATCCAGGGAGCTAACTGCAGCCAGAAGGAGCCCCTGAGCAGTGGGGTGCTCTGAGGTACTCTGACCAAATGCCAGGGGGTCAGGCAGATTCACCTGCAGGTGTGCCAACTGCTCTGCCACCAGAGCCTGTAAACACCATGCCTCCCACCATGGCCCAGCACACGCCCCAGCCTAGAGCTGCCCCTCTAACAACCGTCTAGCAACAGAGCCGCAAGGCCCAGAGCACAGGACAGTCTGCACCTCCTGAGCAGCAAGGGCCCGGCTCCCTCCGTGGGAGGCACGTCAGAAGTGCCAAGAAGCGCTCCACTGAGAACTCACGCTCCTCCAGAAGAACACCAAGCAGCAGAAAGGGCGCAGTGAGTGTCCATCCTGGGAGACCTGCACGTTCTGATTCCACCCAGACCCAAGTGGCAAGCCTTGCCTCTGAAGCGGTCACAATTTCCGTGGTACAGCAGGCCCTTTCCCGTGAAGCTGAGAAGCACCTGGAAAAGAGTAAGAAAAATTAGAACACAAGTTTTTCAGGCTCTCTGATTTCCTTAAGGCAGCAGTAACAAAACTTCAAGGGAAACATCTAAATAGCAAAAGTCACCAAATGCTGAGTGTTCCAGAGCTCAAACAAGCCATGAGACACCAGCAAGTGGTTATTCGTGTACACTGCTCCTGGCTGCAGCCTGCAAGCATACTAGCACTGCGAAGGTTCGTGGTCACTCAGCACGGTGTTCCCAGAAGAGCAACTCTGCTATGCAACTTGGGTTATGTCATCTCAGGCTACAACTGCCATCCTGAGGCAAGGCCTGACGATCACATAGAACTCAAGGCAGCAATGATCATTCATTCTCTTACCATCAAAAGACCCTCAGGTCCTGTAAAGACAAATTCAAAGGACTAGCATTCTCAGTCCACAGAAGAAAGGAAAGCAACGCAGACACAAGTCACACGGCTGAAATGCGCAAATAGCTTCTTACTTGCATCTCGTGTCATCCTATAAGCTGAAGTCCATCTAAGGAAGTGAGAAGCTCACGTGGATAACCCTGTTGTGGTATAGTTGCTTTTCTCATTGACTTTCTTTTTCCCCGAACTTTTAAACTGAATAAAAAACTTTCTTTTAAGAGATGAGGTTTCACTATGTTGCCCAGACAGCAGCTATTCACAAGCATGATCATAGCACACTATACCCTCTGATTCCTGGGTTCATGCAATCTTCCTGCTTCTCAATGCCACCACATCCAGACTCTGACAGCCTTAAACAGTTTTAAAAACTGACACATAATAATGATACATATTTTATGGGGTACACAGTGATGTTTTGACACCTAACACGTGTAGTGTCAGGTTAGGGTTATTAGCCTATCCATCACCTCAAATGTTTTTCATCTCCTCTTGTTGGGGACATTCAATATCCTCCTCCTCATTGAAGCTATATACTACTGGGGGTAGCTGAGACTACAGGCACATGCCATCACACCTGGCTAATTTTTTTCTTTTAATGTAGAGATAGGGTCTTGCCATGTTGGCCAGGCTGGTCTTGAACTCCTGGACTCAGGCAATCCTCCTGCCTTGGCCTCCCAAAGTGCTGGGATTACAGGTGTGAGTCACCGGGTCCGGCCTCAATTACTTTGCTTTTCTGAGAGTAACGTTCCTGAGAGTAAGCAGAGGCAGGGCAGCCTGACTTTGGAAAGACCCCTGCTCTTACCAGGCTGGCTCTGCAGCCTCTAGTTTGTAGAGAAGTCACTGCACTTTACTTCTCCTCCCAAGGAAAGGAGGAGTCACTAGTGTTGTAGGCTTAGCCCCTCAAAGCAGCACAATTTCCACTGTGGAGATATCCAGATTGAGTCTTGCCCCACATGGTCTCTGGCATTTACTATAATGCCATGGTGCCAGGGAGCCACAGCACATCATGAGGCAGATGTAACTTGGGAAACATGCACCATAGAGGGTCCTTACTTCCACCTGGCACCAGTTCACCAGGGTTACCTCAGCTGTCTCCCATGAGAGTGGCTCTCCCCTTATCCAAGTAGCACCCTGGTCATG